TGTTTTTAAACTACAAGTTTCCATGAATCTCTCACGTACATTCATCTCTGCTCAAAGCGTATCCAAATGTAAACAAATGACGTCACACATTATGTATTCTATGGATATAAGTTTATGTAGGAGTTATACACACACACACACACACATATATATAGGCATATATATATCTGTATATATATACTTATACATAAAATTATATATATATTTATATACATCTCCTCGTACATATATTTACACACGCACATATATATATATATATATATATGTGCATATATATATGAACATAAACGTATAAAGTATATATAAATATATATATATATGTATATTTACATATATATATATATATATATATATATATATATATATATATAGAAGTATGTATATATATATGAATTTTATATGTATATATAAGTATGCATATATATATAAATATATATAAAATATAAATATATATATGTATAGTATATATTTATATATATATATATATATATGTAATATGAATTTGTATATATATATATATATTATATATAATTTAGGTATATATATATATATATATATATATATATTACACATATATATGTATATATAAACATTATATATATATAAATATAAATAATAAATTATATATATATATATATATATATGAGTATATATTTATATGTATGTACATATATATCTATTTATATATATATATATATATATGAATATATATATATGTATATATGTTTATATATATATGTACATATATATAATTTAGGTGTATATATATATATATATATATATATATATATATATATATATATATATATATTACAGATGAATATATGTATATATACACATGAATATATGTATATATATAATTTACACCCACCAAATATAAATATATATATATATATATATATATATATATATATATATATATATATATATATATATATATATATATATATATATATATATATATATATATATATATATATATATATATCTATATATATATATATATATATATATATATTTATATATATATATATATATATATATATGTATTTAAATATATATATATATATATAAACATATGTATATATATATGTTTATATATATATAATTTAGGTGTATATATATATATATATATATATAATACACAAAATATGTATATATATGAAAATATATATATATATATATATATATATATATATATATATTATATATATATCTATCTATATATATATATATATATATATATATATATATATATATATATATATATATATATATATATATATGAATATATGTAAATATATTATATATGAATATATGAATATATATATATAATTTACACCCACCCACACACAAAATACATATATATATATATATATATATATATATATATATATATATATATATATATATATATATATATTACAGATGAATATATATAAATATATTACATGAATATATCTATATATATAATTTAATATCTATCTATCTATATATATATATATATATATATATATATATATATATATATATATATATATATAAAATCCCATATCTATATGTGTGTGTATGTATATATATATATATATATATATAAAAACGCCCAGAATTCGAAGGATATTTTTAATAAATCAGGCAAAGTGAAAAACTGTTTTGATTCCACGCCTTTCCTCTTTGTTAGGGTCGATTTCTTTGTGTTCGTGTGTGGGTTCTAATTTTCAATACTTACTATCTGTTTGTTGCTCTGGCGTCTGCCTGTCCATGTTTATTAGTTACGTATCTTTCTGTTGGAATAAAAAAAAAAAAACTGCGTGATTTTTTTTTAAGTCTCCAACGTCTTCTGGATTTTGACCTCGCCCATTACGAGCCGAAACCCGTTACACCCTTCACTCGGCTCGCATACCGAATTGTGGCACTATCGCTTTTGCAAAAATTGATGATATTATATATGAGCCTGGACCTGTGATATTCAATGTATTCTTAATGCATTTTCTTCTTAAGGGATATTTTTTTAAAATCAAAATTGTTGACAGGTTTATTTCGCTAAAGTACCAGTGCTTTCAATGTGTGAGCCTGCAGAAGATTTTTGCGATGCTCATATAATCTTTTTTTACATTCCTGCATTTTACCTATTATTATATTTATACATTCCACTTTAAAGATTTTTATTTTGACTTCTATGGTATCTTGAGATCAAAGATGTACGAAACACCGAAAGTTAAACTTGTAGTAAACATCTTATAACATTGACTTTTCTTCCTCCTTCATATAATGAAGGTCTTTAGTTGACTTTATTTGTAGATATAGCTCGCAGATATGGGCCGATCCTTGAATAGATGTGTACTCAAATAGAACTGCGAATGTTCAAATTAATTATAAAGAAATAAAAACATACATCTATTTTTGCGTTTATTTATTCACAACTAGTATTTAATGTAACAGATATTAAAAGATGACTTTAACATAAGTTTTCTTTACTCTTTCAAATTCCTCTTTATTAGTCGTTATCAGTGCATAGCCAACTGTAAATTCCATTGGGATTCTTGCAGCTTTTTAAATAATTTCAGCGCGACACTTTGACTGATTTCCTTCCAATCCCTTAAAACTCACCTCTGTGTGAATTCCCTTTTTTAACTTCTATTGCTCTAAAGATAATATAACAACTCGTTGAAATTAGACGAAAAGCTTTAGTAATTTGCATGTATGTTATTGCTGTATGAATGAATTAGGCCAGTCTTTGAGAAGGATACCGCCCCTGACCAAAAAAAAACACACTTCATGCGCCCACAAGAAACAAATTTTGTATGAACAAAAACCCCACCTTATGTTTATTTTCCACGCCTTCATTTCTTTTTTCTTCTTACCAAGTCTTACACGCACTCAGAAGAAAAAGAAGCCTTTTTAAAACATGGACACGCACATACAAACATACACACACATAAACACACATTTTTTGACGCTCTAAGTTTATATAGACTCATTTAGATTAATTTATTATCCTCGTGTTTAAAACTAAATAAAAGCATTCCACAATATAGTAGATCGCCATCATAACGTGGGGGATTCGTCATATAATTTCAAAGTAACATATAACTGGATTGGGTTCCTGCGACAAGCAACATGACTAATCGAATAGCTCATTAGTTGATTGACTTTGTCGTGGTAACTTGCATGTTCCAATGGAACAGTTTATAATAAATATCTATTGCTCCATTTTTGTATTGAGACCTTTTTTTTAAGTTAATGTTATGAACGTTTGTCTTCATATTCTTTTCGTTCTTTATATATATATATATATATATATATATATATAGAGAGAGAGAGAGAGAGAGAGTAAGAAGAGAAGAAAACGATGAAAAGTGGTGAACAATCACATTTGACATATATGCACATATACACTCGCATAAACATAGCTACAGACAAAAGGGGAAAAAATTAACCCCAATAATAGTAGCACCCAAATTAGCGTATAAATTAATTACGTGAAATATAGCATAAAAATAATACAAATTTAGAAAATCCGTTTTCAATCGATAAAATCATCTGACGAGTGGCCCGAACAATTGCAAAATTTCGTCTGCGAAACTCGGGCTTTGAGGCGCTGAATATAAAATCTGTCAGCTAAGTGAGAAATTTCATTTGTATTATTTATTATTACACACACACACACACACACACACACACACACACATATATATATATATATATATATATATATATATATATATATCCACAGACAGAATCTTTCGCTGTTTCACACCGCATCAGTGTGGCTAGACATCCGATTGCCACACACACACACACACACACACACACACACACACGTGTTTGTGTGTTTATGTATGTATATTTCAACTTTCTTTTCTATAGTTTTATTGCAGTTATTTATCACATCGTCCAGATTGTTACATTCTAGGATGGTCAAAGCAAGTAACATGAATTCGCTGAGACTCGTTCAAGGGAATGCTTCTAGCATGGGCGTCGCCTTTACCGATTTGGCTACGGGGTCTTATCAATTTTAATTCGACATAAGTCTACAGCCACATAGCTATATATTCCTGATTTGTTTACAATTTAATTGTAGTAGCATTGTTTGAAATCAGACAACTTAAACTTTATAGATCGGCTCTATTTCAACTTGCATCGCACACATAGTGATATAAACGAAGCTACTACTTGACTTTCACATGAGGCTTATCTCCTACCTCTACTCTTATTCGCTTTCTGACTTCAATACTTTCCAACTGGTATCCGTTTACTCATTCTCATGTAAAATTCAATCTTCACCCCGCCACCTCATCTCTCTTAAGCGACCTCTCGCTAAATCTCACGGTAGCTTGCACACATACAGGAAGGGGACAGGCAGGAAGGTAGTAAGGCAGGCAGGCAAAGAGGGCGGATTGTATGAATTAACAGCGAACGCTTTCATGCCTCTGTTTCTTTGATGACCAGGCTTTTTTTTATTTGCTGTTTTTCTGTTATTTTTTTTTCTTTTCTTTTTTTTTTATTTTTAAATCCCCGGCTCTGATTGGTCAGTGGGAATTTCAAAGTAGCAAAAAAAGAAAGAGAAAAAGGGAAAAAAAAGATGAGAAAATGTAAAAAGGTGAGAAACTCAAAAACAGAGGCTCACTGAGAGAAAAAGAGTGTAGACCACGACCTCGACCGACCTAAAATCTGATCCATTGAACAGATTTTCTCCTCTTCGCCTTTGTTGTTCATTTTGAATATCGCGGTCTCAACTTTTTCGCGTAGATATTTACAAAGCGAGGTTCAGTCGACCACAAACTCACAATAGCGGGGTACTCACTGAAAATCGAAAAATCGCTAAACAGTTTATTGAGACCTCTTTTTTCTTCTAATTTTCTTCCATTTTCATATTATTTTCTTTTTTTTTCTTTAAGTTTTTGTTGGAAGAATTTTGAAGAAATTTCATTTTCTTCCTCTCAATGTCCTCATAATTGTCTCCATCGCTTGTTTGATTAACTATATCTCTATCTAAGCTCAAATCTATCAATCTATGTTCATATCTATCTCTGCTCATATATATCTCTGCACATATATATCTCTGCTCATATCAATCTATCTCTGCTCATATCTATGTTCCTATCTATCTATGCTCATATTTATCTATCTATCTATCCATCTATCTATTTTCATATCTATCTATCATCAAATCTAACTACCTATTCTCATATCTATCTATCTATCTATCTATCTATCTATCTATCTATCTATCTATCCTCAAATCTAACTATCTATTCTCATATCTATCTATCTATCTATTTATTTATCTATCTATCTATCTATCTATCTATCTATCTATCTATCTATCTATTTTCATATCTATCTATCTATCTATCTATCTTCATATCTTTTTTCATATCTATCTATCTATCTATCTTCTTATAGTGAATTAAAAAAATATCATGCCTGGCTATTTGGTCCCATTGTTCGGGCAAAGAGTATTTTAAAACTCATTTGCGCGTGTGTGCAACAAGAGCAATAACAAAGCTAATATCAATGTAAGCTAATATAAAGTTTAAACCTTCAACCCATTAATATAAATTTCAGATAAAAATTCCACTAAATACTACTTGCTTTACGTCGAATTTATTGATGCATACTCATTTAACCGATTTGAAATTAAAATGTTTGAAGTGTTAATATTTTACAATATGACACTTTATTTATACGCCTGGGAAATAATATGACTGAAAATCAATTACATTAATGTATGTGCGTTTAAAAATTTTGATTTTTGAACTGATTTTTAATGATAAAATGCAATGAATGTTGTCTGTGGCTTAGAGTTAATGTTTAGCGTCATAGCATTTTTTTTTACAAATTCTACTTAAATGTAATCCGTTATATTTTTTAAAAACATTAATCATTGAATATTTTTTACTTTAAATTATATAAGAATAATAAATAGAAAATGCTAACTAAAATATCTCATTATAATTTAATATCTGATTTAACTATCTATATTTAATATATGACTAAAAATGTGTTTAGAATAATAAAAATGAAATAAGTAATAAAAATGATATTTTTATTTTATAATTTTATTATTTTGTAAATATATTTCTTTTGTTATTAAAATAATATTTATAGGAAGGATATATTTTCATATTCCGGTGAAGTTTGTTGGCATATTCTGAACTTAAGGTATACATATATTCTTTTCAGTGTCCTAGAAACAACAACAGCAATAATAATAATATTTTACGTGATGAAAGGTTTTTTTCATGTACATCGCCTGGATACTCACAAAACTCTCAAAATATAATATGATCAGAAATTTACTTGTCTTAGAATACCCTCAGTCAAAAAACATTTAAATGATTCTATCAAACTGCAAACCAGAAAAAATGAGAATAATAATAATGAAACAGAAATAATAATAATAATAATAATAATAATAATAATAATAATAATAATAATAAAACGAAGAAGATCTTCAGAAAATTAACAACGTCCAAGGTCCTTGAAATCGAAATCTCAAAAACGTGTCATGTGAGGACATGAACAATTTTAGTTGTATTTGGAGCCCTCGGTTTGGATGTAGAATGTTCCGATAAATACATTGAAGAGAGCAGGGGTAGCCCAAGCCTTAAAGAAATACAAAAAAAATATACTCACAATTACAGCTGATACCTTTCGAAGGGCTTTATCTGTGTAAAAAGTGTGTGATCTTAGTTGTTTGGAAGGCATTTTTTCAACAGATGCTCTGTGGAAAATGTCATAATGCCACTGGTCTCTGGTTGCAACCCGCAAAGTAATTAGTATGCATCAGAAATCAAAGGAATTTGATTTCATGAGACTTTACGATACACGCAGACAAAACAATCAAAGCTAATCTCACAGACATTGTGATCAAAGAATCTACTTTCTTATTGACATGACAGTTCCTGCAGATGGTAAATGTATGTTGGAAGATCTTCAAAATCTATCAAAATACAAGGATCTTGAAGGAGAAATCTAAAAATAAAATGTGGCACATGAGGATATCAATAATTCCATACTCGGGTTAATTGAAAAAGGTTCAAATAGACTCATTGAATGAATTCCTGCTAGTCCATGCCTTAATGAAATCCAAAAATTCTACTGACAATTACAGCTCACACATTACGAAGAGCTTTATCTATGTAAAATATGTGTGATCTTAGTTTTTTATTTAATAAGTCAAAATGTCATGAAGGCAATTTCTGACCTGAGGTCTCTGGTCGGGACCCGGAAGGAATCGGTATACATCAACAACAACAACCACAACAACAAACACAACAGCAGCAGCAACAACAACAACAACAACAACAACAATAATAATAATAATAATAATAAATGAAATAAAGGAGGAGGAGGTGGAGAAAAAGAAGAGGGATAAAGCTAAATTATTAATATGAGCTTAAAATTATTGTTATGACTTTGAGAGAGAAGTGAAAATATATGATGGTGATAATTGTATTGTGAGTAGAACTTTTGGGAAGCTCTTGGCGTTTTTTTTTTAAAAAGTCTGACAATATCGGTAATCCGCGGACAAATAAAAAATATTCTAACAACAGCGAAATTGACATAAATATTCCGAAAACTGATTCAATTTTTAATGGTTCTTGTCACTTGTGATTCAGCTTCGGATAATAAGGAAAAGCAGAAATCAGAATTTTATTGACTTTGCACAATCTACTCCGATAAAGAAAGGAAGAGGTCGTCAATAAGACCACCATTTTATTCATGGAGAATATATGTAAATTAATTTAGAAATTGAAAGTTTTCCCTTTTTTTTTTTAAAAAAAAGCTGACAGTTATATCAATGGAAGTGCAGATGGTGAATTGGGTAGCTTCTACGAATTGGAAATCAGAGCGCTGAGTTCAAATTCCAATCGTGTTCGGTAGATTCCCGGAGGATCCTCTATATACTATACGAATCTATGGATTAATTAGTGTGACATTTAGTCGGAAATAAATTTTTATTCTCCAAAATAATTAAATCAATAATTACTAGTAAAAAATATTATTACAATCTCATATATATATATATATATATATATATATATATATATATATATATATATATATACGTAATCAAGCGTATAGTGTTAAATATATCAGACATCGAATGTCTTTTGATGTTTTATCATAAGCATTTTTTTCAAGAGTTGTTTAATGAGCTGCTGCCCTATACATTAAATTATATCATAAAACACATAAAATATATATATATACATATATATCATATATTCATTCATATATATATATATATATATATATATATATATATAGATAGATAGATAGAAATCAGTTTTTATGTGTTTTAAGATATATATATCTTAAAACACAAAAATGATTTCTATATGATATATATATGTAATATGTGATGTATATATTTTATATATCATATATATATATATAGATATGTGATACATTATACATGATATATATATATATATATGCATATTATATATCGATATTTTTTATGATACATGATATATTTAATACATATATAATATATATAAAAAAATATAATATTTATCTATGTATAATATATAATGAAATATATATATATATATATATAACATATATAGTATATATATATATATACATTATATATATGTATATAATATATATATATATATATATATATATATATATATATATATAGTGTAATATATACATAATATAATGAATAAAGACAAAAGGAAAACTTATCTTAGCCGAAGCGTTTCGTCCTATATACATATTGCAATTGGTTGCTTTGTTTTTACGACTTTTCTACGGTTTGTTTGTTAATTTAAACCGAAAAATTATTGATAAACATTAAAGTCAACTCAATCCGTTGTAATTATTTGAATTATCGTCTGTTTATGCTTCAAACAAAAGAAATCATAATTTAATATTTAAATTTTATATAATTTTAATATTTTCTTTTATCCAGGGTATATTAAATTAAGAGATAAACAAAATATATTCAAAAATACAATAACTTTTCTGTGCATGAAGTGAATTTGAAAAGTTTGTGTTCTTTTTGAAATGTAAATAAAGAAAATGTTAAATATAGTTTTAATATGTTTAGAAGCATTAAAAAAATACTGTATTTTAAAGTTAATATAACGTCCGCATAAACCATTATTGGAGAATCTGCGTCGTCACATTGTTTTTTTTAATTTTTTTTCCTTATTTTTCATTATTTACAGGAAACCGTTCCTTTCATCACCGCATTATTTTATGTAAACGCATGGACTTATTTTGTCATTTCTTTACAGTGAAACCTTAATTTTATATATAAAAAATAACGGAGTTTCAATTAACCCAAAATACCCGTTTGCCGCAGTAGCAGTTTACGTATAACATTTATTATTATTATTATTATTATTATTATTATTATTATTATTATTATTATTATTATTTGCTTTGATTTCTGGCGTTTACACATTTCTTTCCGGGTCCCGCCCAGGGACCTAAGGTTAGAAATGGCGTCATGACACTTTCCACTGACAAAAAAAAATAAAAAATAAAAAAAATAAAATAAATTAAATTACATAGATAAAGCCCTTCGTAAGTTGTGGGCTATTATTATTATTATTATTATTCATAACTGTTATTATTATTATTATTACTACTATTACTACTAATATTAATAACAACGACGATGACGAAGTCGACGACATATACGCCATAATGTTGTTGCACTTGGAAATGTTCCAAAGAACGCAGCCGAAACTGGATGAGCTGGAAATCCGAGGAGAAGCATCGGCGGAATCCGAATGATGACATTATTATTAAAAATAGCACGAATATTCGCTGATATCCTTAATGTGTTGGGTAATATATACATAGATTTAAGCTCGGTTAATTATTGAAACGACGTTTAAAAGTGAAGTGGTTTAATGAGGAAAAAAACAAACAAAAAAAAAACAAACAACAACTGACATATTTTCACCCGTCTTATGGAAATAATTAGCATCCTAAGAGAAGATGTGACAATTCCATGTCATTTTCAAATATACTGAACGTGATTTATGTTACTGTTTTATATGCCGTCATAAACAATAATTTCTCTAGTTATCTTAACTGCATGTCATCTTTTTTCGTTGCAATTATCTATCGCTTTAAGTCTATACTTGTCTATCCATTTAAATGATTTCTTTACTAATATCAGTGTATTTCAGTCGACCTATCTACTTAGTTACGTCTATCCTTTCATATCAATTCATAATTATATCAATATATCGAGAGAAAATAAGCAATAAGTTTTTCCTGTAGGATCTAAAAATTATATAAAATACAACGTTATTTTGTTGAGTTTACGGAAAAGAAAATGAAATACGATAATTTTTTCGCTCCGAAAACATTCGCCAGAGCCAGAAAATCAGTCCTCTGAAATTTATAATATTTAATTGTGCTGATTATTATTAGTAGT